GTCACTATCACAGAACAGTTATCCTAGCAAAGACCTCATTACCCTTAACTATAAAAAAAAAGTTTCATGAAATTCCACCGTTTTCTTCATCTTCTTCTATAACTGCAGTCCAACTTTAGAAAAAAAATCTATTGTCTATAAAAACATGACTTCCCGGTTTAATACCTAATCTATTTTACAGTAGAATCGACTGCAAAAAAGTCCTGCAATTAGAAGCATATCAAAAGGATTCTCTTCGCTATTTCACAACAAAATGAATTGAGAATTTTTTTAGCTTATTATTTTTCATTATTAATTAATCGAAATATTTTCACGAAGTGAAAGAAAAGTATTTTCAACTTCTTCTAAACCTCACAACAGCACAAAACACCAACCTGCTCTGTAACTTTATGTTAAATAAAGCTAATTTTCATTGGTTGAATATCCATCAATCAACATAAATGTTTGCAAGATTTCTTTAATATCCCGCACCAACTGACGTCGAATCTGGGGAACAAAAAAAAATGAAATTTTAATTTTTTTTTTCTAGCAAATTTGGTGAAATCAAAAGTAAGAATCACTATGAAATCAAGAAGGAGCACCCATCACCATCCTGGGAGAAAAAAAAACAGTTGGGAAGCAGAAAAAAAAACAAGAATCCATACGATGGCGGCACGAAGAGTTGGAGGAGTTTCAGAGGGAATTGAAGAGGAGGAGAAGGAGGAGCAGGAGGATATAAGTGTCATGGCGTCGATGGTACATCAGGAACAGGACTAGAGTATAGCATAGAAAAGGAAAAAGTCAACCCCTTGGGTCCGGGTGGAGTCGTGGAAACAACATCGTAGAATCCTTCATATAGCAGAGGTAACTCCCTTGTGTCTCTCTTACTCACTTCCTCTTCTGGCTTTTGTTTTCCTCCTGAGGATCACGTTTTTTGTTATGATGCGCGTGCGGTGGGCGAGGCCAGATCCTCAAGATCTCCACCAATGGAATGGATGGTTACGCCTCCACAGACGCTCTCTTCTTCGCGCCCTCCAACATTCCCTCTTTCCCTCTTTCTTTAAACTGCCTCCTCGAGTGGGTTGAAAGCCCAAGAACCTGCGCCAGGTGTTTGGGGTGTAGAAATGACAATGGTGGACGTTCTTCACAAGCTTTTCAATGTAAATAAGCTACTATTTTAACTTAAATCATATTTTTTTAAAATTAAGTCATTAAGTAAGTGAGGAAAAAATTTCCTTCATGAGAAACTCGTAAGTTTTGTTCAAATATCAAATTCAGATTAATAATTAAGCTCAACGTGCTGGTCATGGATAGCAGAATAATCAATTCTCCAAATAAAGTTCTGGACTCTTGGCAATAGCAGTGGATCCATATGGAAGAACAGAATAACTTAATAAACATTCTGTGGCTTTTTCATGGAATATAAGATTAGAATAATTGATATTATTTTGAATTCAAGATGAACTTTTAATGATGAAAAATCCAAGTTCAGCATGAATATCAGATGTGATCGATCTCTGGAATGACATTTATTTTAAATTGGAGTCTGTAAGTTGAAGAAGTAGTGTTGGGTAGGCTATATTGCTTGGAGATTCTTCTTCTCTTCTTCTCGACGATGGTTACTCTTGTCTGTTCTCTCGTTGCCGACAAAAAGGGACCTGAAATTCCCCAGATACAAGTCTCAGTGACGCCATGAGACGATCTTGATGCTTTTTATTGTACCTGCCAATCTTACGGAATATATTAACAATCTTCTTAGTCTTATGGAAGTAACTGATTGCTGAATAAATAATAAAAAACAAAATATATGCTAAGGAATTGTTCAGGATCGTTTGTGATCGGTATGCGGGTGAAGCTTTGAATAATCCTTATGCGTATTGCCTTTTTCCATTTGCCATACGACTTGTGTATCTTTCTCATCATACAGTTAAATAATGTATCAATCACTTTAAATTATCTTTTTTAGATCATTCTTCACTTTAAACTTGATGAAGTCTTACCTTTATCATCAACAGATATGTTCATTTGATTTTATCAGTAATATACACCAGTGAAATTAAATTTAGCAAATTGGATTTGAACTAGTAATCAACATCTAGAGCTTTTTTTCTACCACATGGAGTAAGAAAATGATACAAATACCATTCTTTTGGATTTCATTTATAAAAATAATATTTTAAAGAAATACTTGTAAAAGAATTTTGATCTTATATTGAAATTCTTTGAAAAAGATTGAAAGAATTCATTGAAGAATCCAGACAAAACTAAGAAGCCCTAATTGAAAAATCGCACGTTCTCTTTTTAAATACATTCCTTTAAAGCTTGAGAATGTATTAAAAACATAGCTCAAGTAAAACTTGACCGTGACCTCAAAAATGTTTGATTGTTTTGACAGAAACTTGAGTTTTTTTTGTAAGTCTCTAACAATATATGTGTTATAGGATCAGGGAAAGAAAGAGAGAGTTGCAAATACATAATAGAGAATGAAAGCAAAAACAAAAAACCCCCCTTGTACCTATTTCCGACGACGTCCTTGAACTCTCTCCCATTGACCGAAAAAGCATGTCGAAGTTTTTCTTTCAGTGACAACGACGACGACGACGATGGAGACACGGATGTCTTAGCAAAAGCGTCTGCAGGACGAAACGAGCTGCTTCTTACCAGCTACTTGTTAGGTTGAAGACTCTGCTGGAGTCTACAGTGTATAAATAATACTCTGATTCATTCCCATATTTTTTTAATTCACTTTTTAGCAATCTTGTTACTACATTATCACTTTTTTTAAGATCTATCATTTTCTTTTGCTCTATTATTTCTAGACACACTTAATAAATACTGAAGAACAATTTTTTTTAATATCAAAAAGTTTTGAAGAAGTAAACATTAGTTTTACAAACAAAAATGACGTTTGATAATTTTTTGCATAAAACTTTGAGTTACTCCAGTAACGAAACTATTATGAATAAAAGTGTTTGATAATTTTTTCCATGTTTTTAATGTCTAAATATTTAGAGAAGAGTAAATATACTAAAAAAGTAAACTTGGGTGCTGAAGAAGGGAAATTTTTTACCGAAAATGGTTCAATTGGAGTGGGAAATAAAAAAAATTTCGAGGTCATTATGTCGGTTAGTAAGGGTGACTTTTTGCTTTGCGTATACAAGCAGATCAACTTCCATGACCTTACTTAAGTATTTACTTCTTAGGGTGTCAACAGAGTATCATGAAGAATTAGAAAGATTACTTATTCATTTTTCTATTTTATGATCAATAAATAAAGTTGCTTTTTCACTGGCTATTTTAGTATTGGATATTTGTTTTTTTTTTTTGCTTTAGACGTGGAAACTATGATGAGAAGTTAGCAAAACGGTTAATTAATTGAAAGCGTTCACATAAATTCATGACATTTACACATACTCGGTGGAAGTAGGGATTGCAAGCTGCACTGGTACAGTTGTTTAGTATTCGATTGGTCAAACACGATTTTAATTGAATGGAACATGAGCATCATGGATACTTGCCATTAATTAAGATTCCTACTATTTGCAATAACTATCGATACCATGTGTACATCGTAAGATAGCAATATCCATAATTAATCTCGTCGTGTAGATGTTAACTGCTGCATCAGGTTATTTTAATTATTTATGAAAATTACCGTTGAAATAAACCTTGTATGTTATTGAAGTTTTCTTTAATTATCAAGTCAAAAAGTAATAACAATAACTCATACATTGATCAAGATGTGTAAAAGTTAGAAAGTTTATTAGAAATTTCCCATTTTAAGATAATCACGCTTCAAATTTTTTAATAGTTATTTATATGTTTAAAAATTTTCTAGCTCTTTAATGAATATTTATTGTCAATCTTATTGCAATTATCCATTGGTATGATAATATACTATATCTCTAAGCTGTTGTATAATAGAGTAATTTAATTTTTTTCTACTAATAATGATCATTTAAAAAATATCACAAAAAGCTTCACCCTAGATCATTTATTTTTCACTTTCTCACCTTAAAGTGCTTAACCTCATGAATTGAATATAATAATTATCATTAATTACAACTGATATTTTTTTATAAGCTCACATTAAAAATATTTGAAAGAAATTCAAAACGTAATCATTCTTTTTTTTTTCATTACCGTTGACGTCAAGTTTGTAAAAATAAACTTCTATAATCATCTTAGCAATGTGTGGTATTTCTGTTTGTCATTACTCCTTCACTGATAAATATATATATATATATATTCTTAATAAATTCGATTCTAAAAAGAAAATAAACATTGATGCTTCCAAATTCTTATTCAAGTATCATCAGCGAAGCCTCTCCCACTTTGCGCGATTCACTCACTGTGTCTCTCCCACTTCTATTCTCCCTCTTTCTCTACACCACATCCTCACGTAAGTGATAAAGGAATGGGCATAGCCAGACACGAAATATCACGAAACTTTACGAATGCGCACGAACTGCTGTTCGAATCCCGGCTCCCGCGTCAGTGTAGACGCCGCGTTCGCGGTCCACGGTTCATTATTTCCGGGCGGAGTGTGTAATTTTTTTTGCCGTATTTCGGCAGTATCGTAAACTCCAAAAATCACTTGGCTTTGGTGAATAATGTTCAGTGATATCTGACAATCTCATCTATAAAGGTGTACAAGATAATATATAATAAAAAAAGTCATAACTAACCATATTAGTTTGTCAAAAAAAAAAGTATCATAAAAAATGGCTGAAAAAACTTGAAGGTTGAGAATCAAGTTCCCGCCAAATGATGCTAAAATGCGATCAGAAATGTTAAGATTGTTGTGGAATTCTTTAGTTAATGTAAAGGATATCATATACGAAATGAATTCTGGTGGTTTTTTTGATAAAAGAACAATGAAATTGTGTAAAACAAGTTCGACGGTGAGATAAATAAAAAAAAATTCTCAACTTATAACAGTCTGAATATATTGCATTTATAAATAATTATATGATAGTAGAATGATTACATTCATCTTAAAAAAAATGGCTGTTAAATAAAACAATGCTTCAGTGTTAGAAAAAAAAGTAGAGAGTGAGAAAAAGTACATAGTGTGCAATAGAGAAAAATTATTTAATAAAAGCAAATAATTTTAAGAGTGATGAAGAGATAATATTGTAAAGAATATTGGGATTATCTAGTCAAAAAAAAACGAATCATTCAACGAAAAGAAGTACAGTTTGGTTCGTTACATGGAAAACCGAATAATAAAGTAAAAGAGAGGTTAGAGACTAGCGAATTCCCAGAAAAGAAAAGGTTATAGCGATAATAACTGTAGAAACGTAAATAATAGAAAGTCTTTTCAATTGGAAACATACATAACTCAATGCTAACAAAACATTGTTAGTGAGGTTATTTAGAAGATCGAATATAACGTTATTAAATTGCATGTAAACAAAAATTACTGGACAGTATTCTTCTTCATCAATTGCTACAAATAACGTGTGCGTAAAAATTCCTCAACTCTATTTTGTCTTTTGTGTTTACATATCGAAAATGAGTGTTTTCAGTGATGAAACAGCAAAACAAACTAAAACTTAGGATTAAATTAATAGTGAAATATATTATCTACAGTGCATCTATTAGTTAAGAGGTGTCGTGCAATTAAAATATTTACAATAATCAAATTAGATTAATAATAATTACGTAATTAAATATAAAATTGTTATATTAGTGCTGAGTAGTTAATTACTGATTAATCATTTTCAAAATAATCATTGATTAATTTAGTAATGGATTTGAAGTTTTTGGAAGCAAATTTAAGAATGATTAAACGTATTAATCAATAAATGGATTACATGATTATTTAGAATCACGTGCAAGAGAAATTTCAAAATTTCTGCTAAGACTATAATGTATCCTTGGTACAGGGAAAGCGTTGCAGCAGCTGCTGCTGCCGGTCTTGGAGGCCCTGTTGGTGTTGTTGGTTCAGGATTTTGTTCTACAGCTCCTGGACAAGGTGCTACGACTATTAAAACAGAGAGTGGATATTCTGACTGCATGCTTGCTCTCGATTACGTCCAGAGTAAGGTGAGTACTTGAATATTTTATATATATATATTTGTGTTTGCGTAATTTTATCAAGATTAAGAAATATTGGAGAATTAAGTGAGATTGATTATTATTTCTCTTTCTATTTGACATCATTAAAAGTTATTCATTTGAAAAAAAAAAAAAAAATAACTTGAACGTTAATTAATATAAAAGTAGGAATGATAAGATCGATAATCATTGGAGAAGTTGACAAACTTATAACAACATAAATTGGAAAGGTAATGGTAAGGCAAAATGTAGGATAATATGTGTATGAATATGAAAAATATTCAGAGATGAAAAGTTGTAAATAAAAGTGCTGCATAATACGCGGGGGTTCTTATGGTTTCCCCTTCGTCCCGTCCCGCCACTTTTCCGCTCGACAACCATAAGTACACAACCGTTCATTAACTCTCATAAAAAGCTGACATTATCGCCGTTTGTCCGCATGAGCACGAGCGAGAGAAACTGACACCTTTTTTTTTGTCTCTTTCTCTTTCTCTATTGCATCCTCATGATGATGCGCAAGTTTTTTTTGTTGTTCTATTCATAACTCGCGAATTAATCATGTCAATTGCATTACAATATATCTGTTTTTTATCCCATTATACCAACATTTTTTATTTTTAAAATCATTCAATTATTACAATGATGATATTTTTTCAATAATCTGTTGAATCTAATGTGTAATTTATCATGTCTTAATTTGATTAGCACGAAAGAAAAAATAAGTACGTGTTAATAATATAAAGATAATAAAGCTGTTGTTTTATAATAAATAATAATTTATAAGGTAATAACGTTTGCTTATTAAAGATTGATTACTCTAGATAATATTTAAATGGGTATCAGTTAAATTAATTTTACTTAATTAATCCGTTATTTACAGACAAAATAAAGCTATAGAAAATATTTTTTTTCATCTAGTGGAAAGAGTTTTGCAGATGCATATCACTGGTAACATGATTAAGTAAATGATAGCTCTCTATAAAAGCTATAATTTAGATTAATTTCTTGATAAAAAGGTATTACGTTCTGCTTAATTGATTTTTTAACAATAAGAAAAGATTTTAGTATAATTTAGTAGAAAGCTCCAAGTGATTTATCAACAAGAATCTTTATAGAGATATTTGATGTTTCAATGCTATAAATCAGTTGTTAAAGATTCTTGTTGATTTATACTACGATTAACCGTTCTTTTTATTCAATTTATAATTGTCGGTGGGTAATTAAAGGTGTCGTTGAACCTAGAATAACATGACTGTTCTGAGTAAATACTACAGCTTGCGTGCATGTTAAAAATCTATAGTGTAGTCAGCGGTTTACATATTTGTATATTTTACTTAGTTCCTGCAATTCTACTCTTATCTTTCTCTTTATTTATTCTACATTCGATCGTTTTCTTCATTGCTATGTACTACATATACTGATTTCCTTATGTCCTTTCGTCTCTCATCTTTTCCCTTCTTTCTTTTTTCTTTCTTTTATTCCCCATTTTTTTCAACACCCTTCTCAATTCTTCATATTAACTTTCCTGGTTTATTTGTGAATATAATAAATAGATATCACGATTCAATTCTACTCTGCACCCCTCGGTCAATCCACATAAGGAATATGTGAAAATAAATGCGCTTGTACTCTCTCATAAATTCTCATAAATCTGAATACAATTAACTCCTTCACATGTTGATTTTTCCGCTTGAAATATAACATGGGCTATTTCCTCTTGGTAAATATTACACTTTTCATATTGAAATAAAATTCCTTATCATTCATTTCAATTTTTTTTAATTGGAATTTTTTTTTATTAAATTAGTGTCTTGAATAAAATATTTATTAATCAATGAAATTAATGATAATAAGTGTTATTTAATTTTACGTCATTAATTGCTAATATTAAATGACTTTATAACTGACTATAGTTTGATAATAATAGCTTAATAATAAATAGTCTTGTAATTAACTTTTTTAACCATTATTACATCCTAAATGCTATAATATTATTGAACTCATAGTAACAAAAAACAGATTTATTCTGTGAAAGACATAAATATCTAAGAATAAAACGTGACTTTGACATTTATACACTTTGGTATGATATGCATTTTTTTTTTTAGTTTATTTTCAAGTTGAAGGCGGCCATTTGCTCGGCATAAGGCACATAAATCCATAAATGGCATCTGTAGACGTTAGTTGTTTTAACAAGTTTCCAAATTCGGATTCTCTTAGGGTCCTTTTTTAATTTTTCACTTTCTTAGGTCTCTCTTATTTTTTTTGTTTCAAGGCACAATAATCATTTTTTTGCATTATTAATACCTAGCAGGTTTATGACGTGAAAAAATAATTACAAAATTTTTTGCTAATGTTTTTTAGTCAAGTACATCATATTTTCACAGTTAGAAAGCACCCCATCATAAGGTATAATGGGGTACTCTTCTAAGATAAACAAAAATGAGCTCAGGTCTTGCGTTGATTTTATTTTATAATTATTTGTAATATTGATGAATGTTCATTACAATTATTACAATAACAAAGAGAGTATTATAGGCAAATGATGATTTTTTAGTTGAAGCAAATCCAGGTGGTGGTACCTTATGTTGTGTACTCATTCCCTTAAACAACAGGATATGTTACTACTGTCATCAATAGTACCGGCATAATATTTTATTTAAAATAATAAAAAATACGACAAAAGTTCTAAGCTAGATAATTTTAAAATTCTAAGAGTACTCTTTCATTTGAACGAAATTTAATGAAAAATGTAATTTAATCTCGTCTGGCATTACTCTTACCTCTAAAAGAAGAGTAGATAAGTAAAAAATGTCTGATAAAAGGTGAAAAAAAAGGAAAAGAAGGGGTGCGGATTGGTTGAAAGTCAAGTGTCCAGAGGTGGAAACTAGAGAATCCAAGCGTATCATTGGTAGCTGGGGGGGAGAGATAAAGAGGTTGGTCTTGAAAAGCTTAGAGGAAGACAAAAGAGTACTCGCGAATAACGAGGAAAGTAGTCGTAAGTTTATAAAGAAACAAGAGAGAGAGGATGCGGATGGCGTGTGGAGGGTATGTAGGCGTGTCGCAGGTGCGCGTAGGTGGAGGGGCGTGGTAGATTGCACGCCATTGGTGGGAGATGATACGTACGGGTGACCGGAAGTGGGGGGATACCAAACAGCAATACTCGGTGGTGGTGATTGTGGCTGTGCACCGGCGAACAAAAACTATATCTGAGTGCGACTTGGCAAAAAGCTGCCAGGTGGCATTGCGTCGTGTTTCAAGGGGTGAGTAGCGACGCGGCTGCACAGCACGTATTACGACTGGTATGGGGAGATACCAACTCCACAAGGGAAGAAGAACTCAGAAAGCATGTCTGAGTTTTAGATGAGGCGTCTGGGAAAATGTGCCATTTTTACTTAGAAACTTAAAATTCATGAAAAAGACTAACGAAAATCATGATAAACTTTTTCCCTTCAATCCTTCATATTTTATTTTATAAAAATGATAAATTCACGAGTTTGATAAAAATCATGACAACTGTAATCAAAGTTTAGCTGAGTATGAAAAAAGAATTATTTCACTACACTTTGATAAAATAATGCAAAGTGCAAATAAAATAGTAGACTGATTGAAATGATAATTACAGCTTTTTACCAAACGTATATTTAAAATTTCACGATAGCGTAACATCACAAATAAAATATATTTCACATTTTAATTGTCTTGGAGTAAATTCATACATACATAAGAAAAGAGGAAAGAAGAGGTCATAAGGTGATATACGTGCAAGGCGATAAGTGCAAGTAACGTTAGCGTGTGGGAAAGGTACAAAGATACAAACGTAATATCACGTATAGAAATCACGATAAACTGTAGGTCGTACAAACAACTAATACTTGGTTCTATAATATAAAGGATATCGTTGAGCTCGTGTGTGCAACCCTCTTCGCATTACTTTAGCTGTCACTTAGGTCTTTAACCACAGCCGGATGCCCGCGCCTTCTTTTTCTACCTCTTGTGTTTCTGCCGGCTGTAATTGCCGGATTATATTGTTTTAAATTCATTTTCACAGAAATACACGAGAATAAGTCTAAGAAATGCATTTTTCCGGTTAAAAAATCCTCATTTCTACTATCAAACTATTTTAACTTGTCATCATATTTTGTATTTTTTTAATTACTGACCGATAATTCCGAGCAAGCAGTAAGTTATGTTTCATTTGATCAAATGAAACCCATGCTTTCATCAAGTAAAAATGAATAAATTGCCAAGTAAATGAAACTAGCCTCAATATCAAGGTTGTAGGGAGAAAAAAAAATTCAAGCATAAATTAATTAGATAATTAATCGTGTAATGGACTTTAATTGGATCCTGTTAAGTGTCAGTGTTGTGTAATCTACTGAAGAAAATCTCAGTAACCGATCGCGACTTATACGATAGGCACAGGCACCATAATCTCGTCTTCCTCTTCTTTCTTAAGAGCCCGCGAACTTGTTTGATTGTAGATAACACAAGATTTAGCAGATTCGATGCATCCATTGATATTGGTATGGACTTGCTTACCGGCTTGTTAAGAAAACGATAACTCGATAACAAAACTAAAGGGGTTATCTTCTACATTTTCAACGTCATGACAAAAATTATCTCAACAACATTTAACGCCCATAATGACTACAAACTTTGTGCTGTAATCATTTGTAAATGTACTGAAAGCAGTCTAGATACTATTCATATTGAATTCAAAGCTCTAGCTTGACCACCGATCTCGATTCTCTAACTTCTATTTATTACTTTACTAACATAGATTAATCATTTATATGATTAAATAAAATTTATCTAATAATTTAATATCAAGTAAAATATTTTTTAAAACAGATAAAATCATTTTCTATAATTGCAGTAAAATGAAAATTAATTTTAATTAAATGTTTAAATAAAAAATATTAACAATAGTAGATGAATTGGTATCTCAGAATAAAAATAGGAGTTTGTACCATCAGAATAGAAAT